TCCTTCCATCCAGACCATTTGGAGGGCTTGTCCAAGGACATCAGGTATTGCGGGTTTGTGGTTAGAGTGTACCACGCACCATACTGCTTGGGGCTCGGCTCATATAATGCATATGAGCAAACACCGCAAAACTAGGCTCTATGTCCTAAAACTTGCAGGCGGTGATATAGCTCAGAATGTTTATCCATGAATTTGGGGTAAGTTGTTAGACCCCAAGTCATACCCATTCAAAATCTTCTTAATCCCTTTGTGAAGGGGAAAGCGGAGGCTGGATTTAATCACGACTTCATAGCAGACGAAATAGCTGTCGGTATTATCAATATCATCCTCCTAGTAATCGTTGCCTCAGGCGGCAGAACCTCAATTCTCCAGCCTTCTCCTACCGGATACATCTCTGCAATGGCCCTAAAGCTACTCTACATGACAACTAAGTCCCTAGGTAGCATCTTAGTTTCCATGGGATTGGGCTGTTCCGGACCTATAGGCGGCTGATATTCGTCTGCCGCTATATTCTCTTAGCCTGAGCTCAACGCCTCTAAGCCGGATCTCTCGGCGGCTTCCTCGTCGCTTGACCCATTTCATCAGAACCTGAGGAAGAGGCATAGTCCCCGTCGTCTGCCTCTTCCAATATTGTGTCACTAGGGGTTGAAGGGGTGTCATCCGAAGAAGAACCCGCCTGCTCCTACTCCTCCTCTGAACCCTCATATTCCTCATCAGGAATAACTTCATCAGCGGGCACTCTCCTAGCGCGCCACTTCCAAGGCTTGACAGCCATTTGTTTAACTCTGGCCATTGTTTCCTGCATAGAAACAAAGAAGGAGGAGTTCGAGGATGAGCAAAGAAGGTCTGAATGTCCAGAAAAGGCACTTCGGTTCAAGATCCAGTCGTACCAGGAGACCAGTTAAATGACCTAGGCAGTGTCGTGTGGGTCAATGGAGATTTTATTTTTGAAGCTTAACTACACAAGCGGAAAAGTATAAAAATCTTGAAAGGAGTATAGGCGGTTACCTTTAGACTTAGCCCTGAAAATCTAAAAACTGCTACACGCGGTGACCGGATGTGCTCCTCGAACGCAGACGGGAAAAATGCAAATTCTAAACAGACGGATGCAGAGCTTCTCTCTTTAAATAGTTCTCTCTTTCTCTCTCTAAAAAGTCAAATACTTTGGTGTGAAATGAGGAGAGAAAAGGGGTAAAACCTTCTATTTATAGAAGGGTAAAAACAAGAGCATCCCCGTCATACCCTAGAAGGTGAATGACTTTTACTATTCACCGTTTACTGAATGTCACGTGTCACAGGCGCCACGTGGCCAGCCACGTGCCACCTATGAGGGCCAAATGTTTTGGGTAAAAATACCCTATCCATGTGGACCAATTAAAGAGGGCCACGTGTCAAGCCTAGGCAGGTCCATTTGGGCCAATTGCCAACCAACACGTGTCAGCCTCAGATGCTTTCCAGAATTGTGGCCTTCAAGGCCCAATTCCCAAGAGCGCCGCAAAACGACGCAGCCCACCAAATCTAGGTCAAATGACCTAAGAAGGGGCACGTTCCCTAATGACCCTATAAATAGGAAGATATCCCCCAATTTTGGGGGACATTCAATCATTTATTACACCTACCCTATATTTTCTCACATCAGAGAACACATGATCTCGGAATTCAAGAAGATCTCATTTCATTTTTCGCACCTTCTCCTACTCATATTCAAGTACTAACTTAATCTTCGGAGGAGGAGCTCCAAATACCCGGAGTCTCCGTTGTTTTGCCAGTAGAGGCACAATCGGATCAATCCTCGAGCTGTAACTCTCCCGAGGGACAAAAACACCCAAAACAGAGTCTATAATTTAATGATGCGTGATGATTGATTATTAGTAGCATGCTAGGGATTCTTATTATATTTTACAGCTTGTATGTACTCAGCTTTGCTGATTGCGTGCTTTGTGTATCTTTCTTTGGTTATGGCCTTCGCCTTTCAATGACCCTGTGACGATCCAATTTTTACACTTGTAATATTGGGGAACAGATTAATCACAGGTATTCGCATAAAGTGGGACTTGCATCAAGTGATGGGTAATTGAGTGGAGAGTTGGTTCTACTTATGAATAATATCTCACAAAACTTTAAACTTTCTCAAATTCTACTTTGAATTAAATGCTACTTTGTTAATTGGGTTTTGAATAAGGGCCTTAATGGTTTCAACTTGTAACATTTAGTTTGGTTTTTAATTAGGAAAAATACACTTTAATAATCCCAACTATGGGCGATTTACCTACAATAATCCCAACTAACGTTTATTCTACAATAATCCCAACTATTAGGTCAGTTTTCCTCCAGCAGTCCCAAAAACCGGTTACCTGCTGAAATGGTAAACATTTTTTTTTGGTTTTTTAAATTCCACATGTCAGCACATGATTGGTTTAATTTATAAAAAAAAAAAAAAAAAAAAAATCAGCCCATCAGCCACGACAACCACCCCCTCCTCCCTTCAACCACGACAACCACCCCTTCATTCCCAAATCCGACCACCGGGATATCGACCATCCCAAACCCCAGCCCCGTAGCTAACATCCGACCACCGCCTTCGATCTCGCGGATTCAGGCCTTGACGAATTGAAAGCAACGGTGTCGTGAGAAGTGGTTTCCGGCGAGGTGTCGCGGATTCAAACTCCAATCAGTTCACGGGCAAGGGTTTTGGGGCGATTTGGTGCTGCTGGTGGTTTCACGGGCAATGGTTTCGGGGGTGCGGCTGGTCGTGGGTGCTGCTGGTGCAATTTAGGTGGTGTTTCGGGGGTGCTGCTGGTGTTTTGGTGGTGTTTCGGGGGTGCGACTGGTTGTGGGTGCTGCTGGTCGTGGGTGCGGCTGGTTGTGGGTGCGGCAGGAGGTGGTGGTTGTTAGGGCTGGCAGTTTTTTTTTTGGTTTTTTTTTTTGTATTTTTTTAACCACTCACACGCTGACACGTGTCAAACAACCTACAATAATAGGTTGTTGGCTTTTGTTGACCGGTTTAGGACTGCTGGAGGGAAACTGACCTAATAGTTGGGATTATTGTAGAATAAACGTTAGTTGGGATTATTGTAGGTAAATTGCTCATAGTTGGGATTATTAAAGTGTATTTTTCCTTTTAATTATTGGTTTGAAACTTTAATTTAATTGAACTAGTTTTCTGTTGCTAAATTCTAAAATAACCTTAATGTTTGAAAATTCTGTGGCGGTAGCACGTCAGTAATTCTCTTGGATTTGTTCAGGGTATTTACAAGTTTAAAAAGAGAATTATTAGGGTGTTACAAATCCATTTTACCATAATTTAGCTTTTCCACATACAGAAAAGGGAAAAAGAATCTCCCTAATTTGGTCTTGCGCGACCCCAGTTTTCCTAATAGTGTTGCAATATTGGCAGAAATCCAAAATATGAAGATTTGGATCTTCACCCTTAGCTCCGCTAAATTGCTTCCTTTTGATCATAGTAATAAATTGGGGTTTAATCTCGAATTGTACTCCATCGAGATTAGGTGCGGGAGCAAGATGTGGAAAATTTGTCAGGGATGGCTGCAAATAATCGCTAAGCTTGCGAACAAGAGGAGGTGGTGGTGGTGCAGTCATCTCTGATTCTTGATCTGTACTAAACAAATAAAAATGACAAACTGTCCCAAAGAACTTACGTTCTCAAAGACGAAAAAATATAAATAAAAAAATAATAAATAATCTAGATTCTAATAACAACTAGAAATAAAAATAAAACCGTTTCCCTGGCAACGACGCCAAATTTTAATAGGCTATAGTCGTATCACCTAATCAAAAGTAATTCCTAAAACCACTAACTAAAATAGACACGGAAGTAGGGCCGAATCCACAGGGAAACAATGTTCTTTTATTCTTAATAAATTATTATATTCTAAATTATCAAGTGACCAAATTATGTTTATGAGAATCAAACTAAGGAAAATAAATAAACCAAAGCAAACTAAACTAGAGAGAATAAAAGTAGGGAGAAATCAATAAATAAAAGCCTAGGGTATAGGTTCACCAATAATTAATACTCTGAGATAAAACATAATAATCAGTTGTTAATGCATAAATTAACCGGATTATAAAGGGATTTCGCTACGTATTATAATCACATAATTAATCTATCGGTATTAAATCGCATCTCCCGAATCTTGACTTAACCATTTATAAATTAAATCTGCCTATTGAAACTAAGTCTAAACATCAATTATCATCTCTCGAATCTCGAATCAATATTGCATAACTCATACAATTAAACCTGCGCAAATCAAATTCCGTCGGAAATTTTCGACGGACTTCTCCGGTGCCGGAAAACCTCTTGCAATGGAAATTCCGTCTGAAATCGCTTTTCCGACGGATTTCAGGGTGTTTCCGACGGAAAAAGCTATTTTCTAGTAGTAATCCTTTATTATATCTTATAGATTTTTCAATCCATTACTTCCCTAATATACAATGTTCTGGGGAGCCCTTATAAAACAATTTTGGGGGCTAATAGTGTGTTAATGGTCTCTTCGTTGGAGATGGGATCAAAGGTACGTACAATTAAGGGTATCGAGTTACTTAAACGTGTGACTTAGTTTGTGTTACCTTTTTCGCTCTGTTTTCATACTTCATTTACTAAATGTTCTAGGCACTTTATGTCTATTAGATATTGTTAATATGTATGTCAAAAGTTGTTGGTTCTTCATTTTCTCATGCTTTCTCCAAATGCAATAGAATGTGGGATACAAAGGTAGATGCATGTTGAAAAGCAAATGACTATAATTTTTAACGGTTAAAATCAAACAAAAAGATGTACTTTTGTTTATTTGGTATGACATTTTTAAGTAATTTACAGATTATTTAACTTCGTTTGTAAAACCATAGCTTTTTTATTTGTCATACAATATGTCAAACAAAAACTTCAAATCAAATCAAATAAAAAATATTCATATCAGATATGTGTACCACATTTGTGGAAAAAGGTAGGCTATCAAATACCAATAATTTGACAATTTATCCCCAAGAAAGACCTAATGTATTGTATATTTCACTCCATATAATCTCAAGTGTTTCTCCACATCATTACGTTAAGGAATTAACCCAAGTATTTATAAAAAAAATACCAAGATTTCATCCAATAATTCAAAGACAAGGAAAACCACAAATCCACAAATCTATGTATAAACACTAGTCACATAGGGCAAGTTAGTAGAGAACAAGTCTTAAATAACCTAAGGCAGAAGGCTGCCCATTAAGGACCTAGTTAAGGACAAAACGGTGCCTTGAATCAACATAACTCTCAACATCCCACAAAAACGACCCAAAAGTTACAGCCTCCAGAATAAGTCTTCTTAGACCACCAAATCCAATCTTGATGAACTCCTCACTAGATGAATCTATAGTTCCCTGAGGTGTCATGACTATCTCTGGTTTCCCAAACAAAGCTTCAGTGTGCTTTTCAATAATTGAAACAGCCTCCTTGGATCGAATAGTGGCATATCTTGTGAGTGTTTCTGCATCGAATGCCATGACATAGCTTCTTAGACGAGAGGGTTTTATCCCTTGGTCAAATCCCCCTGGACCAATACCACCAGCCCAAGATGAAATTTCAGGATGCAATTGCGCCTGATCATGATGGAATGAAGCAGAGTCCTCAACATCCATGTGTACCCCATTTTCCATAGTAACTTCATTTTCTCTTCCATCTATCTGCTCAGGAAGGATCTTAATGGCCTTCTCAAGCTGAAACCTCTGGTCTATGCGCTTGAGAAAGTAACCAAACATCACTGACGCTGCATATACCTGCCCAATTCTGAGCTTGCTGATCTGTGCTACTGAGCTTGAATCTTCCAACCGGTTACCAAGTATAAGAGCGAGATGATGCTGGATCATCTCATACGCTTCAGGAGAGTGCACTTCTTTTAGCTTCCCATCTGGACTAGGCCACACATCCACACGACCTGAAGGATCAGCTGCAGATGGAGTAATAGAGGGGATCAGTGAAATATTAGCATCCACGAATTTTTGCACCACCAAAGTGTATAAAATCTCTTCCAAAGCTTTTCTCCTTTCATTCGCCTTAACCTCTGCTATCCTCCTGATCACAATATTGAAATGATGATAAATATAAGTGCTATATGAACTAAAGATCTACGACATTTATGGATTAGATATAACCACTAACCTGTATAGTACAAGATCAGAGCTTGAAGCAGATGGCTCTTCCTTCTGTTTTTCGGCTTCACAATCAGTCTGCAACTGCTCAAGTTGCTGGTCAACTGCAGCAGGGACGAGGTGTGGATGGCTGACTAAAATTTGGGACAGAAACTGCCCAACTGGAGACTCTAGCTGAAGGGGAGCGATGGGTCCATTAGAGTCAAAAGAATTGGAAGAATTAGATGCTCGAACTACAAGAGCCTTTCTGTTCCTAAAGGACAATTTTCCAACCCTGAGCTTTACATGATATGGAGAGGTAGACTGCAAGAGGTCAACTATTAGTATCTTAATATTCTTTTACAGTGAAAGGACACTGCAAAATAAGAACTAAATGCACAAAAGAGCACAAGCAACACAGTAAGTTGTAAATAGAAACCAAAAATTGTTGACTTATTTGAAATCTATTCTAAAAAATATAACCCATAAGGCCCTGCCCTTAACCGGTGTGTCCAATGCAACTGCACAGGGCCCATAAATTGGGTACGGCCTCATGTCTAAAAATGCAGTTAAGTAAATAACACATCACGTGAATATTGTTTATATGTGGCGTGGTTCAGTGGTGTTGTGCACAGCCGCAAACAGAGCATAGCTGGATGAGCCGTTGCTTGGAACTTTTTAATGATTTTTTATGTTTCTTTCTTTTTTTTTTCTTCCTATTATATACAAGTACTTTGTATAAAAATACTCCTATTTTGATTTTTTTTTTTTTATTATTAATTTTAATGCAGTTTTCTTATAAAAATACTCCATCTTGTTCATGTAGCCAACCCAACTTGGCTTTGATTGATTGACTGAATTAAAGCAGTTTTCTTATTGGATTTTGTTTTTCTCATCCAAGTTTTCCTTATAGCACAGTTTTTATAGTTAGTTTTCAAAAATGAGTAACCAAAGATTTCTAAAATATCTAGCAATAATGACTTTTCTATGACTTGCGTTAATCTAAGAAAGGGCCAAACATTATCCCAATTGCATAGGGCCTAAATGATGATTGGGAGGCCCTGCTCATACAATCCCTGATCAATCACAATCAAGAGGTCAAAAACACATAGTATTGTGTTAAACTATAATACATTGAATAAAAGATAAACTAGTCCTTTAGAGTTTAAACTGTAACTTTGTAGCAACCTTGTAAAGTCATACTATGAAGCACAAGTACCTCTTCCAACAGGTGTTTCTAGTGATGGGTTACGTACCAGGGATGGTGATTCAGAACGGGTACAACTGACTAAAAATGGGCATGGCGTGTGTGGAAATATCTTGGGTACAGCTGAGCTCACCCTGAGCATCTTTTCCTACATACCTCTTCATAAATTAGAAATTTTTAGCCCAAAATAAAAGGTAAGGACACATGCAGCTTCTATCTCTCTGATCTCTCCTATTATCTTCTTTGAGTTTTCTCCCTTTACCAATTCAATCATTTAGACCATACACCAATTTCCATCCTTGCCAATGACACTCATCATGTATTGACATCTGAGGCTTCACCCCTTTGTTCCTCCTCTTCCTTTTTTTTTTCTTATTTGATTTCAAGGACACCGAACGACTAGAAATTAAAACTTAAAAGATATGTGGTAGGGTTAAGGCTAAACAACTATAGGGAAATGTTGAAAACTGTAGTTGTAGAAAACTAGAAATCCATGTGACTAAACAATTTACTCTAACTCTCCCCAGATACCCCCCCCCCCTCCTCTGTTAAAGCTAAAAATTTATTATCACCTCAAATTTAAAAGATTTATCAAATTGAACTATGTTTTTATATTCTCTCCATTCTAGGAATTCAATTTGCTTTTAGAGACTTGTTTCTTGGAATTCATGGAAACATAAAGTGATTGAAGTAAGAAAGAGAGGGTAAAAAGGTAGGTGAGTGTACAAGAAAAGGTAGACAAAGTAAGAGATAACAGTAAAGAGTTGTAGATAGCATGGGGTAGGAGCCTAAAAGGGGTATTTGAAAATAATTAATCAAGTAGTTGTGAGACGAACTTTTTGAAGCGACTCAAATGGAAAGAAAGTTGAATTTTCCTCAATTTGTTCCGTATCCATGTCATACCCTTATTACAATTTTGATTTAGTGGTTTTTCGTCCTTGTTCCATTATAATATCAGTGCTACTTAGTAGTCATATGTTCACCAAGCAAGACTTGGCTCACTAGCAAAATTTCTTTGGGTTCAACTTGCAAGACCAAGACAAAGAAACTTGAGAATTCTCTTACTCCCAAGACCAATAAATCGCGAGGTTAAGGAAGGTCTAGTCCAGATTTCCTTTAAATATAAAAATATGGCTTAGGGTCGATAATGATTATATTTAAAAAAAACAATTATTTTCAATCAATCAAAGTCTTAATCCCATAAGTGAGGTCGGTTACATATACCAAAAGTGATTATTCCGTGTTATCATCAACAAAAATCTTCCTCGTCCATCCCTAAAGATCCAATGCCTCATCCTCATGCAAATCCATATGCTTCATATCCTTCCTAACTCCTTCCAACCAAGCCATTTTTGGTCTCCCTCTCCTTCATTCAACCCTTCCATGGTCCCACTGTTCAACTCTTTGTACCAGTGCACCCTCACGTCTCCGTCTTACATGTCCAAATCAACGCAAGAAATTTTCCCATAGTTTGTCTACGATGCCTACCACACCCACTTTCTTACGAATAACCTCATTTATGATTGTATCTCTTAGAATGTTCCCACACATCCACCTTAACATGCGTATTTCTATAACCTCCATCTTAGAAGCCAAACATTATGTACCATAGACCAATCATAGTCAAGTCCTATGGGCATGCCTTAATCAATCACCACCATTTTTTTGGATGATCGACGCAAGATAATTAAAACATTCACTCATGGTTAAATCTTTTCCATACAAACTCACCACATCATCGCTTGTCCCCCTCTCGGTACCTCTTTTAAAATTATGGTCAAGATATTTAAAAATTTGCTTTAATACATCTTTTTAATTTTAATTGATGTCATTGACCTCTTACTCAAATTATTTGCCCTTAATGCAGATACAAAAAAAGTATATGCAAAAACTAGCATCCAAGACCAAAAAGTGTACTAGAATAGAGTATGAAGCCTACTCTTACCTAAGGCGGTTTAAGGGACCCATGTGACCAGATGTAAGCAAAGCCTTGCATTTACAACACACAATAACAGTTACATGTCTGGTATTAATGATGATAAAAGTTAAAAATTTCATTGTACTCCCATAGGACTTTCCCGCCCCACATACCAATAAATTGCATTAAATTTTAAAAGATATAAGTCAATATTTTCAAAAATATTTCATATAGTAGCCATACGGTGTTTAATCTCACACCTAACATACCTAGTTCATTTCTCAGTGTTCCCAATATAGTAATTTATTCTACTATTCTAGACATTTATGCTAAATATATGAGTTATTATTAGGTTCTCATTCTAAATAAAAAGTCCCATTATAAAAACTTCCAAATTAAACAACTTAAATATCTTGAGTTTCTAAACTAAAGAATGATACTTACATATCTCAACTGATTAATATCGTAAAGGCAAACAAGTTTTAAATATTAATCTTACTAGCATAGAGAACTTCCTTCTTGGATATGCTAGTTCAATAAGGGGCCTCAAATTTCAAAAGTTTAAACTCTAACAACCAAAGGAAAAGATAGCAATAAAAACCTTTCCTTTGGCTAGAACTCTACATTACTCTTGTGATCTTGTCTCACAAACAAGTTACAAGATACAACTCACTACCCCCAATTTCTAATTGATTGTCAAACGCAGTCATAGTGCCCCTAATTCCTAAATGATTGCCGAACGCGGTCACAGCGCCAACAATCCTAATTCCTAATTAATCGAACCTTAGACTATAAATGATGATATTGTATAAAGTTCTCCATTTCAGTCCTCGGTCAAAAGTCAAGTCAACTAACCCAAAAATTGCCCAGAAAAAGAAACTCCATAATATTGTATGTACTCACATCAAAACTCAAAAAATCAATTTTGAATACTTGACATCAAAATAAAATAAAGTAAAAATCATCAACAAAAGTGCTGCTAAATATTCAGAGAATCGAAGCTATACAATAATCAAATACTGGAAATTAATTAGAAATTTGAGAAATTCCCACCTTACTTAACCGATAATTAGAGGCAAAACGAATTAAATTGCTGCCATTTGAAACTGAAGTTGAAGGTCTTAATGGCAATCGAAGAACAGTAGCAGCTGCTTCCATCTTTACTTGAGCTGTTGTATTGCAAATTTCTAAAAAAATTCATAAACCCATTTCAAAAATTAACAAATAATTATTGCAAAATTAATAAATAGAAAAATAGAAAATTTCGACTAGTTAACCTGAAGAACACGACGCAAAAGCAAACACGAAATTAGTAATAGTAATCAGTTTTGAAGATAAACGTAAAAAAGAAGGAAAATGTGAGAGGTATTTTATAACATAACATTGAGGGAAACGAGTTTTAATAGGACAAGATTACCCCTGTAAGTTTGATTGAAATTACGATGTTGACTGATTAAGCGTGTTTTGACGAGGGTATATTGGTAATTTTAAAGGGTGTGAAATAAGGGGGGAGAGAGGGGGTAATCTGGATGCTTTTAGGCCTGTTGGAGTAATTGTGATTGCAGAATGCCCACGCGTTACAATACTACTCGTATGAAAATGAAGGGTTGTTTGACTTGTGTGAGCTTGTTTAAAGGGAGTCCCGTTATGCAAGAACAAATGCATAACGAAAGATAATAGTGTAATTACACGTAATGTATATTTTTATTTAGAGCAGTACGATTGGGTGATCAATAATATGATTGAGTGATCAAATAGTACCATTGAATATTTTTGTGGTATCATGTATGCATTTAGACGGGGTGTTCAAAAATACCCGACCCGTTTGACCCAACCTGTTGACCCGCTGACCCGCAAAGTACCCGACGGGTTTTTTTTATTTATTTACGATTTTCGCTAAAATATCAAATTTGTGGGTCGAGTAATGTGTAGGAGATTATAGGTACTAATTGCGGAATAAACATGAATCATATTCATACAGTATCTAATCCCAAGATCTAATGCATAACACATAAAGAACATATAGTTGTATCTTTGAAGCGTGATTCCACATGCGATCGAGTAAGAACAATGGTAGATAAAGAACCTCAAGTGTGATTCCTCTACTTGGTCCACGGGCACAGATTAAGACCTCCACTAATGATAGTTAATTGCACTTGAACCCTTCAATTGACCTTCTATGGAGAAGAGAGAGCAACGAACCACCATGAACCACCACGAACCACCACACGCGCCAACAAGGGTGGCCGGCCGTACGGACGAGGGGAGGAGAGAGATAGCCGTGAGATAGAGAGAGGAATTAGGGTTTTGGGATTGGGTGCCTTGATGTCAAAATACATTGTGTGTGAATTATAACTGCTTGCAAGCAACCCTAAGCATAGATCTTATTTATAGATCTTATCTCTAAATAAGAGTCCATGTCAAAAGCCCAAAATCTAATTCTAATCTAACTCTGCTAGCCTAATCCATTACATGATTAGTTAATTGCTGATGAGGCTCGTTAATGGGTCTCTAAGGCCCCGTTCTTTAAAGCTGCTTTGCTCTGCTTTGCTCTGCTCTGCTCTGCTGAAATATGCTTTGCTCTGCTCTGCTCTGCTTTGCTGAAATCTGCTCTGCCCTGCTCTGCTCTGCTCTACTTAAAATTAATACTTAATATTAAATTATTATAATAATAATTAATAATTAATATTTAATAATAATAAAATAAAAAAAATAATAGATAAAAATAATAAATATTAAATATTAATTATATTATTTAATATTTATTAATAATAATTGTTATTATTATTATTATTAAAAAATAATTATTAATATTTAATAATAATAATAATAATAAATTATTAATAATTATTAATAATTATTAATAACAATAATAATAATAATAACAATAATAATTAATATTTAATAATAATAGTAATAGTAATAATAATAATAGTAATTATACTAATAGTAATAATAATACTTATAACTAATAATATTAATTATAATAACAATAATTGATTTTTATAATAGCAATTAATATTAAGATAATAACTAATATTTAAATATAATACTAATTATTAATTTTTAATAATAATAATAATTAAATAATATTTAATAATAATATAATTAATATAATAATAATAATTAATATTTAACTTTAAAAATTTAATGATTATAGTAATAATGTGATAATATTAGTAGTAGTAGTAGTAGTAGTAGTAGTAGTAGTAGTAGTAGTAGTAGTAGTAGTAGTAGTAGTAGTAGTAGTAGTAGTAGTAATAATAATAATAATAATAATAATAATAATAATAATAATAATAATAAATATTTCTTTCAAAAAAATAATAATAATATTTAATATTTAATAATAATAATAATAATAATGATGATGATGATGATGATGATGATGATGATGATGATGATGATGATGATGATAATAATAATAATAATAATAATAATAATAATAATAATAATAATAAAAATAAAATCTGCTCTGCTCTGCTCGGCTCGGCTGAAATCTGCTCTGCTTTGCTGAAATCTGCTCTGCTTTGCTTTGCTCTGCTGAAATCTGCTATGCTCTGCTCTGCCCAGAAGCTCAAAAGAAAAGGGCCTAACTTGCTTAACCCAATACTCTTGTGTGTGACCTCATAGGATCCATTCTAGCGGACTTTGGATTATTTGACTAGTCCAAAGATCATCGCTCATAGTCTAGCAACAGATGATGACGACCCAAAAGAACGAACTTATTATCTCCATAATAGTGATCCTTGATATATCTAGTAATTGCAGTTATCGAAGATAGAACTCCTTCAATCTCCCACTTGTCTGAGACAAGTGCACAATATTCAAATTCCTTAAGTCAATGTGTGTCGATTTGGTAATATGATTGCATCTCATGTCGTGATCATATTAATCTACAAATCTTTTCTTGAAAAACTGAGTTAGAATTACAAAACAAATTATTCCTATGTAATCCTTTTAAGCACGGCCATGCATTTTCTGAATTCGCCCTCTTCAAGGGGCCAAGACACATTCCTAATTAAATAGGTAGACTAAATCCAATCTTGTGGTAACCAAGGCTCCCACTCAAATCATGAGGTAACCCGGATACACCCTTTATAATCTCAAGTTACGGGAAGACGTTTGAATGTACATAGTTACATCAATCATTGAATGGAATCAATGTTCCACTCATGTCAAAGGAATCCACTAATATATCCGGAAGCTCTATATTTGAACTTCAAAGTAGGTCTTGTTTAGGGTAATTTTACCCTGCCACGTGGCCCAATCAGAAGGTGACACGTGTCAGCCCCAGATTGGTCTAAAATGGACCAATCCCTGCTCGACACGTGTCATTCCCGAAATCAAGGGAAAAGGCGGCCTTCAAGCCCAAATCCCGAGAATGCCACCAAACGGCGCAACCCACCAATGATTAGGGTTCAGTAACCTAATTAGGGGCACAATTCCCAAAGACCCTATAAATAGGGAGATGTCCCTCATTTTGAGGCACGTTTTATCATTTATTGCACACTTACTCTTTGATAGAGACATCCTGAGCTTGGAATCCGAGCAGATCCTTACCTAAATTTCCGCACCTTTTTTCTCCCTTCAAGTTTCTAACTTGTGTGTCGGAGGCGGAGCACCACCCCACTGGTGTCTCCGTTTGTTTTGCAGGTACAGCTCACCCAGGATCAGTCTTCGTGTTGTAACTCTCCCGAGGGACAAAAACCCCCAAAACATTTGGCGCCGTATGTGGGGAGAGTACCTCAAAGATGGTTCAAGAGTTTGTACCCCCTAACCGTCTGGGCGAAGACCTAGAAGTCTTTATAGACCATGAGGAGGATGAGGATCCTCAGGTCGAAACCTCCACAGCCGAAGACGGCTATCTCAGAATCAAGCGCATCCGGCCTAGAGAGACTCTGGAGCGGGGCGCCTCCCAGGCGGGTCCGAGCAGACCCACTGGGAAGCCGGAAGGGGCAACCCAAACGGCAGCTGGATTAGCCCCTATCACCCGAGACGAACTCATGAGGTTCATGACGAGTTTCAAGGGTGAAATTACAGAGCTGATCACCAAAAGCAAGGCTAGCCCCCAAGTAAAGGTCAGTCGGCGAAGAAAATACTCCTCCAGAGAAGGGAAAGTCAGTCAGAAACCGGCAGCCCACTCCCCATCCAAAGGAGAAGGCAGCCGGGACCACTGATTGGTAAAAAATTCTCCTTCCTGGGGGGAACACCAATAACACTCGCCGGCCTCAGCAGCCGGTGAGAAGTTAAAAAACAACTCTTGATGCCCGGGAGATTATTAACCGGAAGAGAAACCAATCGCTGTCTGAGTCGGCTTCAACGTCGTACTTTCCAGACAGCTTCAACAACACCTCTGCCGGGAATGCATCTTCCTTGCATGAGAGCCAGACAGGCGGTAATACCGTCCATTCTGGCCCTCACATGATTGGAGTTGTACCGTATGTGCCTACCCAGGCTTACGGACAGTATCCTCCTCACTTTATGCAGCCGGCCTTCTTTGGAGGTCAGGCGGCATACCCAAATGTCCAGCCATTGGACTGGCAACTCCGTCTGCTGCGCCTGGGTGAACAGCCTTCTGCGTTCACTCGGGAGATAACCGAGGCGGCACAGCCGGCCAAGGTTAAGAATGTGTTGGTTGGTACCTATGATGGTACCACCAACCCGGAAGACCACCTTATGGATTACACCAACCTCATGTATCTGCAGGGGCTGGATGATGCCACTTGGTGTCGGTGCTTCCCGGCTACATTGAAGGGCATTGCCCAACAATGGTTTGGCAATTTGTCGGCCGGGTCCATCAATAGCTTCAGGAAGCTCGCCTTCCTGTTTGCTTCTAACTTCTCAATGAACATCCCTGCTAAGAAAACAAGCCTTGATTTGAGCACTGTTAAGTAGGGAAAGAGAGAAGGGCTACGCTCATATGTCAGGCGGTTCAACCTGATCAGAATTCAGATTCAGGGGTTGTCTGATGAGGTAGCTTTTACAGACTTTTTCAAAGGTCTAAGAGACGGGTCGACCTTTAAGTTCGACCTAGTCAGAAAAGGGGCTTTCACCCTGCAGGCGGCCCTGAGGGAGGAGAAAAGCTACATTCAAGACACGGAACAAGAATAAATTCTGTCAGTTCCATGAGGAGGTCGGCCATGACACCAACGACTGCTTCAGTCTTCAGCGTGCGTTGGACCGTCTGGCTGACAAAGGGCTGTTGAAGTCCTACATTTCTAAGTCCCCAGCCGGGGCAAAAAAGAAAAACAAGGGTCAGTCCTCCAAGACTACCCCCCAGCCTGCTAGTAGTTTGGATACCGACAAGGAGCCGGTCTACACTATAGCAGGCGGGTTCTCATGTGGTGGCCCTACCATCCGGGGCACCAAGAGCCATCTTCGAAAGATGGACAAAGATGATGATGAGCAGG